AAAGAGGAGATTCAATCAAGGTTCCTTCCTTTCACAGTGTTCTCCTGGATGTTCACCAGGAAGAAGACTGCTTTATCAGCTTCAAATTCTATGCTTTTTTGCAAAAAACAAAAAAAACCCCTCAAGATATGACAGTCTTTTTTCAGTGGTTGCACACTCTGAAGACAGCCCCCTGTGGACAGACAAAATGCAAATCTATGCTTAATTTACCACTCATGTCTCCCCATAAGCTGACATGAACTCCCAAACAAATATCCCATAAATCATCTGTATTTCTACATTAAAAAAAGGAAAGTTTTATAAAAAAACCTGCATTTTGAACTTCTGGAATCGTATTATCCTTGAGACTAGTTTCTGTTCACAGTTAAAATAAGTGACAGAGAAAGAATTCTGGCATTTTTTTGGTCAGTTTGTATCTCTGTAAGTACTACCCACTGTGCGATATACTTGCCAAAGCCAGTATGAAGACTTCAGTAAAGTTTGTCAAAATAAGGCCTTAACCATTTGACCTGGAAATTTAAAATTATAATGTGCAGTGATCTTTGAAATGGTTGTGTTTTGCACAGTTTTAACCAGTCCTAAAGAATGGAGTTCTGAGGAATCTGGTAAGCAGTTTAGAAAATAGCAAGCAGTAGAGCAACTCTTCCTCTTCCAGATGTCTTTCAGGTCACAAAGCGTGGTCAGGAATAAACACAAAATGGACTTGTGGATCTGCTGCAGTTCCTTCTCTCCTCCTTTTTCTGCTCTTAGAAGGTACTCATTTAAAAAACATTTACAAACCTGAAACATAGTTGCGTTACTCACACATTTTGTCAGCATCTCAAGCTTGTGGTACTAGAGGCTAAGGAGACTCAACCTCACAATATTTACCTTGTTTCTTAGCACTAATCTACTCACTACACAGAGCTTACACATAAAGGAGTACATTTAAATTCTATGTCCCTTAAGACTTGTGTGCATCAATACTATTCACATGTTCAAAAAAATAATAATTAAAAATATTACCTTTTTCTGCAGTTGAAGAAATAGTAACTGGAAGAGAAAAAAAAGAGATATATGGTAAGTAAATCCATACTGAATCTGAAGTTTGGCTAGAATTTAGACATAGGAAATAGCTGACTTGTTCCAAAGCGTACTTCAGGTGTCAGCAGAGCCTCCCTACCCTCCGCTGGGGTAAACCAGGAGTCAGGATTTCTCCTGCCAGCCCCTGAGGCTTGGTGAGTCAGTGGAGGAGCTGAAGAGACCCAGTTCCCTGCACTAAGCAGGCACACTCCTTTTCACAGACATTAGTTAGATCGTAATTTATACGTGTTCTCCTTCAGATATGCACCCAGCAAGTTTTCTGAGGCATGTAAACAAGGCCAACAGGTGTACCATTGCAATGCAGACACAAAATATAAATGAAATAAAATAAGTCCCCGTGAAACTGTTACACGTAACCTACTTCCCTCTCAGATTTTTCCCCACCTCTTCTCTCTTCCCCTCACACGCTATTTTTGACTTTTTTCCCCTGACCTGAATCCTTCAGGCATAGTTAAAACCTCTCCACTTCTCTCCTACATCCTCATCTCCTTTCATCCCAACAGCAAATTCAATTGTTCAGATCTACCTTGTGTACTGCTTGGCTATACACTCTCCTGCCCTCGGGCTTTTCCAGAACCTTCACACTTCATCCATCAGTTCAAGTTAAGAGGCTGAGCAGAGAGCTGCTGTACTTGTATACAATGTACTTGCGTACAGTATATAGATGACCCCTTTTTGTGCAGATGTGTCGGGTTTGGGGGGGGTGGGGGATTGGTGTTTGGTTGGGGTTTTTTTTGTTTTGTTTTTTTTTTGTATGTGTGTGGGTTTTTTTGGGGTTTTTTTACTCTTCTTTCTCCCCATCCCCTTTCCCATTCTGCACACTCTGTCTGTCCATGGAATCTTCTTGGTTAATGGAAAAGGTTTTAGCTCCTTCAACCTAAAGAAGGAAGAAATTACCATTTAGAGTACAAGGCTGGCTTGAAACTAAAGGTCAATCCTAAAGAATAGCTTAATTTCACATTAGTTATCACAGAATCACAGAATGGTTTGGGTTGGAAGGGTCCTTAAAGCTCCTCCAGTCCAACCCCTGCCATGGGCAGGGACACCTCCCACCAGCCCAGGCTGCTCAAAGCCCCATCCAACCTGGCCTTGAACACTGCCAGGGAGGGGGCATCCACAGCTTCCCTGGGCAACCTGTGCTAGTGTCTCACCACCCTCACAGTGAAGAATTTCTTCCTAATATCCAGTCTAAATCTCGTCTCTTCAGTTTAAAACCATTCCCTCTCGTTCCGTCGCTATGTGCCCTTCTAAAAAGTCCCTCCCCAGCTTTTCCTGTGGGACCCCTTCAGGAACTGTAAGGCTGCAATAGGGTACCCCCGGAGCCTTGTCTTTTCCAGGCTGAACAGCCTCAACTCTGCCTGTCTCCATAGCAGAGGTGCTCCAGCCTCTGATCATCTTCATGGCCTCCTCCGGACCTGCTCCAACAGCTCCACGTCCTTCTGATGTTAGGGCCCCAGAGCTGGATGCAGGACTGCAGGTGGGGTCTCACCAGAGCAGAGCAGAGGAGCAGAATCCCCTCCCTTGCCGTGCTGGCCACGCTGCTTTTCTGGGCGGCAAGCACTCATTGCTGGCTCATGTTGAGTTTTTCATCGACTGACACCCCAAGTCCCTGTCCTCAGGACTGCTCTCGAGCCATTCTTCACCCAGCCTGTATTTCTGCTTGGGACTGCCCCTGCCCAGGTGCAGGACCTTGCACTTGGCCTTGTTGAACTTCAAGAGGTTATGCATACTTGCACACCCTCCTCCCATGTTTCTGTCTGAAACAGGGACACAATCCACGCAGAAAACCAGACCTGCAATGTATGCACGTAAATAAAAGAGCAGGTCCGGTTGTGCCATGATACAGTGTCAGTACCACTCCACTGCATGCTACAGAAGTCACATTACTTTAAAGCAAATCCTGAGTGGTTTTGCTTGAAATTTTACTAATGCGTTATTTCTCCAGTTAAAGCTTTTTCAACAACACAAGGAGAAGATAAAATCATTAAAAAGGTGAAAATTAAAACAAGCTTGCTGAGTAGGGCTGTTTGCCCTTCAAAAAATACTTCAGATTAAGCTTTGTCTTTGGCTTCTCATATATCTTAAGTAAACACTTTTGCACTCAGCTGGACAAACATGTATTTCCCTAGACAAGAAATAGAAAAAGGTTCTTAATTATCCTCTAATGAAATGGGAGAATATTGTTATCTATAAAACTACAGGAAATTTTTGTAAGTCATTCTGGTTAAAGCACTCCATAATCTGTAGCTTTATTTCTGCTCTCAGTACCAAACAAAATTGTGAATCAAATTTGATGTTTGAAGACTCAAAATGATGAAGCAGGAAAAAAGCTTAAGATTATATCACCTGTGAGACTTCATCAAAAAGATCCCTAAATAAACTCCATAAAAATTAATTAAAGCTTCACAGCACCAGGAAGATAATTTTCTCTTTCGTACCTAGGTCCCTTAGGTCAGAATGCAGTTACTAGACTGCACAGAGCAATTTCAGCTTGGCAAACGCCTGCAGTTGGAGGTAAAAGCCAACACTGAAATATTTGTGATTTTCATCCTGTCTTATCATCCTGAAATGAAATAAAAATAAAAGATGGGCAGTCATCTTCTGCCTCAGATGTTTGTGGAAGTTGTTTGTGTTTCTGTCCCTCTCACTGTTAGTCACATCGTCAGATAGATGAGCAGCAATCTGACTGCTTGGCCAAATTCACTCAGCAAATGGCAAATTGTCAGTTTTACAGGATCTTTATACTACAAAGCAAAGCCTTCCTTTAAATAAGTTAATATTTAATTTTTAGATAAAATGGACCTTTAAGTATTTGCCAGGCTGGCAGTGTGACAAGCAGCTGGCAATGGAACAAGCAGCTTTATACCATCAAGAAATCAATTCTGGCTTTTGAACCCTGGTTCAGAAAAAAGAAAACCAACCCCAGAACAAGACATTGCCATTGCAGCCACCATCCCTGGCCGTAGTTTAAGTTACAAGCTTAGCTCTCTGTTGCTTTTCTCCTCTACTGCCTCTAACTGCTTAGATATTGCTGTCAGTTCCTGCTAAAATAATACCATTTTCACCGTAAACATTTCTAAACACTTTTTCTTGTTTGGGGGTGAAACGGGGCACAACGCAGCGCTGCCTTTTTTGCTTATTGATATTTTTTTTGAACAAAATAAGCACCGCATTTGATATGCATGTTAACCTTAGGATGCAACAGCGCTATACACAAGATTAGATGCATCAGCACAAGTTAGTGCCTTCAGCACTGCAGTCAACAGAAACCTGTCCATATTGTAGAAACGTAAGCACTGTAAAACAGCTGTTCTTTTGAGGATTTTAAAATATATCCCCACATCAGTCTAGTACTCAGCTACAAAAGTAAAAATAAGAGCAAAAACATTCTTAGGATTAACTTCTTAGTACTAAGTTTCTGATTTCTTGAGAAGACTTATGAAGTTCTATCAAGATTTTGCTAGGGCAGCATAAAAATAAGGCTAGACGGTGAAAGCTGCAGTTCACTTAATTGCAGAGCCCAGAAGCAGGCACTCACATGCTCCTGCACACAGTGAGTTTCCACAACGACCTCATAATTTCAAAGGATTCAGCATCTCAGCACTGCAGCACCAAGCGAGGCAAACAAAGCGAACAAGCCCCATCTGCCTGACTGCAGCACACGGCTTCACCTTGGCTACCTCAGGGCTTCCAAACTCAGCCTGACTAAGGCAGGAGCTCAGCAAAGCCAGCCTGTGAAGAGAGGTAAATGGGTCTATGCTGAACTTCGTGCTGCTGCAGCTTGTCCAGGGATGTACAGACCCAAATATGCACACTGGACCCTTGCACTTTGGGGTCACTGCAAGATGAAGCACAGAAAACAAAGTATGCATTTTCACTTCCTCCAAAATACACGATACAGCCTTTTATTAGGTTGGATTCAAATGTACTTTTTGACTTGGTCAGCTTAGATGACAAGCAGAAATCCCAGGCTTGACTTTGTAACAGAGGAAAAAGTTGTCTTGGTTTTGATTTATACACCTAGCATCACCCCTGGCAGAAAAGATGCTTTTTCCTTCATGACCCCAGTCGTTCCTTACACCTATCTTTCCAGATGCTCTTCCTTACATTGTTATCTGTTATCTTTCATCACACCTATGTCACAAGAAAGAAAGGGGCGGAAGCCTATAGACTATCAGAGGAAACAATCCTGCAGACATAGGGTCATCATTAGTCGTACAACAAATGAGACTGGGGGGGAAATGTCATTTGTTGGAAGCATTCTCCTTGGAGTACAAACTGATAAAGGTCCAAACTTCAGAAAGCTTTGCAGAATTCATAAAGCTGCTTCAATGAAACCTCCCCGAACATCGTGGAAGAACAAGTCTGTTTAAGAAGCTTTCAGTTTCAGGCTTATTTTCAGGATTGCTCTGAAGTGTTCAAGCACCTTCTACACCACTGCATAATAGGAAAAAACCCCAAATCTCTCCATTTTGAGGCAAAGACAGGATGATCTGCCAAGACCTTGCAAGAAGCGTGCTAAAAGAAGACACACTGGCCTTCAAGCTTGGAAGAAATAACCCCCACCACTACGAAACCCACACACCACATCTCCTTACTCTCCTAAAAACCCTATTCCAATCAAAGCCAGATATGCTCCTCGCAGAGCAAGAAATTCAACTGTAACTAATATAGAAGTTTAGAAAAGAGAAAGAACTGATCTTGTTACTGATGTGCTATGTTCATTTCCCCCGTCCCCTCCCACGACGGCTCCTAGCAGAAGTCATTCTTCGGGTATTACAGCTTTGCCACGAATCTCAAGAGTAACATTCACATTTTGGCTGACATTCCTCATGGGTGGGAAGAAAGAATGATAAATGTGCAATTGCATCCCTTCACCAGATGTACAGCCTTAACTTTTCTCACTTTTTAAGGAAAAGGGTTAATACATAAATATATATACGCACA